CCATATTTAGTATTCTTAGGGAGGGTTATGTCGACTAATTTTATGACTGGAATATATCTCCATATTTAGTATTCTTAAGAAGGGTTATGTCGAATAATTTTATGACTGGTATATATCTCAATATTTAGTATTTTTTGGGAGGGTTATGTCGTATAATTTTATGTCTGGTATATATCTCCATATTCAGTATTTTTGAGAGGGTTATGTCGAATAATTTTATGACTGGTATATATCTCCATATTTAGTATTTTTTGGGAGGGTTATGTCGTATAATTTTATGACTGGTATATATCTCCATATTTAGTATTTTTAGGAAGGGTTATGTCGAATAATTTTATGACTGGTATATATCTCCATATTTAGTATTTTTTGGGAGGGTTATGTCGTATAATTTTATGTCTGGTATATATCTCCATATTTAGTATTTTTTGGGAGGGTTATGTCGAATAATTTTATGACTGGTATATATCTCCATATTCAGTATTTTTGAGAGGGTTATGTCGAATAATTTTATGACTGGTATATATCTCCATATTTAGTATTTTTAGGAAGGGTTATGTCAAATAATTTTATGACTGGTATATATCTCCATATTTAGTATTTTTTGGGAGGGTATGTCGTATAATTTTATGTCTGGTATATATCTCCATATTCAGTATCTTTGAGAGGGTTATGTCGTATAATTGTATGACTGGTATATATCTCCATATTTAGTATTCTTTGGGAGGGTTATGTCGTATAATTTTATGACTGGTATATATCTCCATATTTAGTATTCTTTGGGAGGGTTATGTCGAATAATTTTATGACTGGTAGTATATATCTCCATATTTAGTATTTTTGGGAAGGTTATGTCGTATAATTTTATGACTGGTATATATCTCCATATTTAGTATTTTTGGAAGGGTTATGTCGTATAATTTTATGACTCGTATATATATGTCCATATTTTGTCTTCTTTGGAAGGGTTATGTCGTATAATTTTATGACTCGTATATATCTCCATATTTAGTATAATTTTTGGAAGGGTTATGTCGTATAATTTTATGACTGGTATATATCTCCATATTTAGTATTTTTTGGGAGGGTTATGTCGTATAATTTTATGACTGGTATATATCTCCATATTTAGTCTTCTTAGGAAAGGTTATGTCGTATAATTTTATGGCTGGTATATATCTCCATATTTAGTATTTTTGGAAGGGTTATGTCGTATAATTTTATGCCTGGTATATAACTCCATATTTTGTATTTTTTGGGAGGGTTATGTCGTATAATTTTATGACTGGTATATATCTCCATATTTTTTTTTTGGGAGGGTTATGTCGTATAATTTTATGACTGGTATATATCTCCATATTTAGTCTTCTTAGGAAAGGTTATGTCGTATAATTTTATGGCTGGTATATATC